AACTATCTCTCTCTTCAGTCTTCAAATATTACAAAGACAAAGCCTACTCTGAAGCTAAAAAAATTTTTACTAACAAATTTAATCTTAACTTCATTGTCTCTTCCAATATTGATAACTTTCTATTTTTTCTTAAACCTTCTACTTTTGCTTTTTATATTAATCCTACATCCCCAATTATTATTAACTCTGAAGCTAGTATAGCTACACCCCTTCCTATTACACCTCTATTCAATAACTCTAATACATATTGTAACTCTAATCCAAGTTCCTCCTCTTCTTCTCTCCATTCTATAATCCAAACTCCCCTTTTCAACCCCCTTTTTACTAAATCTGTCTTTTACAACCTCTATAAATGCAGCTACTATCTTATTAAAAGAGGTATCTATAGTATTTAATAAGAAAGATAAAGTAAGTAGATAGGTAGATAAGCCTATTTACTTGGAAGAGCTAGATAATGACAGTATTCTAACATCCAACCTGAGTACTTCTAACTCTTGCAGAACTGTGAGAGCTTGGTATATTGCGAGCAATATTGTAGAAGACAAATTCAAAACTCCTTTTATATTCTTTAACTCATTTATTTGCTTTAATTATTTTTTTTTAGCACACAACAGTCCCTCAATTCAATCTTCTCAAAACTTTAATTCATTTCTTTTATATCTAGCATGTATAGAACTATGGAGTGAAGTTCAAGATCAGATAGTTGTATCTATTAAACTGAACTTTAGTGAAGCACATATCTATTTATCTAATAAACCTTGCTCTCTACTAGACTATATTATTATACCTTATTTAGAGCTTATTACCCAATTTCTATTTGTTTTTCTTAAATCCTTTTATGCATATAGCACCCCAACTCCCAACCTACTCTACTCTTCTCTTAACCTTTAATTTGTACTTATAATATCTGTGGCTATAACTAAAAACTTAAACAACAAGTCTGAAAAGACTATTCCTTTACCCAAAATCTAGATATTATTGGTTTAACCAAAACCAAATTAGCCTTCAACCCCTTCTACTCAAAACTATACTCTACCTCTTCTATACCTATTACTGGTCATATGCAGATAGTGCTAAAGCTAGCACTACTATTATGATCCACAACTACCTTATCTTCCATATTCACAATATAACTCTCACTTAGGATATGCTATGTTTATTAATCCTTTTTTTAAACATAACCTTAAATTTTATATTATTTCAACTTACCTTCCTTGTAACAACTCTAATACTAGGCTGCATACCCAAAATCTTATAATCCAATAGATTTAGCAAGCAATCCTTTTCAACCTGCTCCCTTTTGTACTTGATAATTTTAATGCCTCTACAAACTCAACTCTCTCTTCTTCCATTAAATTTAAACTTCTTCAATTTCTTACTTTTAACAACATATACAATCTGGCTGCTTATACCTCCTCATCTACTCCTACTTGGCAGAGTTCAAGATTAAGTAGTGAAATTGACTTTATTTGGAGCTATCATACAATTCTAACCTCATTCAAAACTAATAACACCAACACCAACTCTCTTAGTGATCACAAAATCCTTATCTCTCGATGGTCTTTCTTTTATACTCTACTAGGGCAATATAGATATAAAACCTGAACATGCCACAGAATTTTTAACTACAAAGTTATAAATTCTTCCAAATGGGAAGACTTTGCCAACCAAGTCTATACTAATCTTATTTCTCACTCTACTTCTCTCTCTATACATACTCACAAATCTATCGAATCCACTTGGTATAAAATCTAAACTAGCATTATCTCAGCTGTTCTTAAACATATTCCTAATAAGAAATTCACTGTCCGTAACTTCTAACATGTATTCTCTTCTAAAGCACCTATGCTTCACAATAATTTTAAAAAACTCAGCAATATTATTCACCATATTAAACACTCTCTTCTCTCAAATATTTCTATCCCTTTACATTTTAATTCTACTATTTCTTCTCTTAATCATTCTCTCAACTTACAAATTTACTCTATCCCTAATTCTTATTCCCTTCTCTCTTCTTGGATTCTTGATACCAATAAAGAATAGAAAAATATCTACAATCAGTGTTATAAATTCAAAAAATTTTTATTGGCGCAAATACAAAAAAAATATGCACAAAGAAAAAATTTATATGCATGCTGATCCAATTTACATCACTGTCTACAATGCCTACAATATCAAAAACAACAAAAAAATCAGACAACAAATTAATGATTCTATCTATAAAAGATATATCAAACTTCAAACACATCCAACTTTGATGATCAATAGTATTCTAAACTATCACAAGAATCTAGTCAAATTTAACAATATTAAGCTTAATCAAGATATTATTACCAACTCTTTGACTATCAAATCTTACATCCAACAATATTTTGAAACTAAACTGCTCCTCATAATATCAACTACAATATTTTTTAGTCTTACTGGCAAAATAAGTATAATTTGCATATTTGATATAGAGATGTTATTCAATATAATAACACTTATTTAACAAACTAGTTTAAAATAGTGCTGGGTTTTTTTGTAATAGTGGATAATAACAATTAGTTTTATTCAGTAAAACAGGCTTTTATAAATAATAAGACTATTGAAAGTTATAAATAGATATTGCAAACTTTAATTTCAAATACAAATGCTGCATTTTTAACAATAATTATTAATAATGATTTTGCTATTAATAGTGCTATTGCCAATATATTATCTAATATATATCATATTTATTGTAAATACTACATAGATCAGAATTTAAAAAGTAAAATAAGAAAATGATATAGTAACTTTTTCAAAAAATAGTATTAAATATGTAATTCTTTTTCATATTAACAGTTTTATTATTTATGGAATAACCTTTTAGTAGAATTTCTTGATACTATTTAATATCTCAATCATGCACTTTTTAATAAAAAGAACATTAAGCTATTTGTTATATCTCTAAAGTTTTAATACCAGAATACAATCTACACAAAGAGTTGAATGCCAAAATGCTATAATAAAAAATTTAGTAAATAGTAGCACACTTTTAATAAATCTTGTTAAATATTAATAAACAAATTGATTAAGCATCTACTTATATTCAATATAAAAACTAGAACACTCTATTATAGAATCTATATTTATTTATGCTAGTTCTGAATTTTACCTAAAATCAATTAATAGATTATTATTTATTTAATACTATCCTCCTTGTCTATGCAACAACAAGAGATTGCTCAAGCTATCTAGTATATATCATAATTTATTAATGATTTTGAAGATTTAGAATTACAATTCAATTCTACTGAACTACTTAATTTAACTTAACTATCTAATTTAGCTAAGCTATCTGATTCAATTGAATAATTCAATTTAACTAAATTATCTAATTCAATTAAACAGTTTGATTCAACTAAGATATTTGATACATTTATTAAATATACTATTGATGCACTTGCAATTTTATTTAGTAATTAATACTATCAACAAAAATTAATTCTATTATTGAAATTTGAAAGGTTACTAAACACAGATATAAAGTTAAAACTTACATTGTATTATTCAAAAATAATTTATATTTATACACATGTTTAAATTTAATTCAATGTGGATTGGTCTGCAGAAATTTCTTTCAAGTTATGACTATTTCAAATTATGCTGTATTCCATATCATACTTATTTCAAAAAGATAGTATATTAATGAAAACAAGTTGAATCATAATTACAAACATCTCAATATCCTTTTATTATTAAACTGAATAGTACAAATAATTCAACTCAAACTAAACAATCTTTTTCTGACCTGTCATTTCATATACCAAATATTTTATTAGTAATATTTATTCTAATATTAATTACTGCAATACCTATATAACAATCAATAGGTTGTTGAAAAAAGCTATACAAACTGGGTCAGATACTGATGCTAATGTAATGAAAAAACTTAAAAATTTTATGAATGGCTTTATTAACAAGTATATACCAAAAAAAAGAAGAAAAAGTTATTCAAAAAAAAAGTAAAATACAATAAAAAGAAGAAGAAGAGACCACTTTGAGTTGTAGTTCTAGTAACAAAGAAAATTTTATAGAAATCAAAATCCCAGTAGTTTATTTAAGGAGAGGTGCTCCAAAGAAAAAACAGTTTAAGGGTTCCTATAAATTAGTTAGTAAAAAAAAGTCTAGTACTAAAGAGAATTCAAATACACAAAAGACTTAATATCAACAATGTCAAAATACTAGTTATAACAAAGTCAGTTGCATGGCACAAGTAACAAGAAATTTTATATTCATACTGAATACAAAGAAAGCTTGAAAATTTTACCTGATATTATTTTCATATTTTCTTAGTAATATCTAAATGATGTTCATATATCCAAAATTGTTGTACAGTGTTAATTGTGCTAAGTGAATTAAGAATATTGCAACTTTAAATTCAAACACATAATAATCATGAATTTGAGTAAATCAATTTTAAAATTACTGGATCAGTTTGTAATATTTAAACTATACTCTAGTATCTTATATGCCCAATAACTTATAGATTAAAAAAAAGTAAATAAAATAACTACAATATAAGCGCAAAATAATGTGCAAGGGCGTTATTTTAATAATAGCCCAAACTAAATTTAATTTAGGCCAAAAATCTAGATTACATCCCTGTGCTTATTTCGCGCTTATATGGGCAAGTAAATGGCAGCTTATGCGCTAAAATCCACAATATCTAATAAAATCGACTATACTTTTCTATAACAATTCAACCTTAAATTATAAATAAAAATAAAAAATAAAATTTCGGATTCACTTTGGTTTCAGTCGCCAGACGAAATTATACAATATAAATTGTTCGAATTATTGTATATATAATTATGCAAAAATTTGCAATACACAAAAAGATACGCGATATTTATTATTAAATCACAATAGTCCATTAAACTTTTCTGAGAATTACAGAATTATAAGCTTGCATAATATTTACGTTTACACATTTAACATTATAAGTTTTTTTTTACGACAACTACTAAAGTAATTCAAAATTTTGTCTTCCACTCTCTCAAAGTCTTATTTTTCCACTTTCCTTTACTGCGTATAAACCATACTACTGCGCAGATACCCATCAAAAAAAATAAGCAAGCAGTGATAATTAATACAATAATTAATACATTATTATTTTTATCTTCAGGATGGATATCCTTACAGTCGGATCTACCAGGAGTAAAAGTAGATTCCCAAGTTAAGCATGGAATGTATAATAAATAAATCTTTGAACTGGTTTCATTTGAATCAGTTACATTATTCGTTATGTTTCCTATTTTCAAAAAAAAAGATTGTTAATTCTGTTAACATTTTGATCAACATAAAATAAACATAATAATAATGATAATAACCAAAAGCAACTATCATATAATCTGAATATACATTAGCAGTATGAAATGATAGTGGAGGTGGTTTATTTGTTCCAGAGGGTTGTAATATAGAATATTTATAGGGTTTAGACCTAACATCCAATTTTAGTAAATTTGGAAAAACTGTTGTTTGATTTAATTGATAACTTGAAGTCCCGCCCGTTATTATAATTGAGTTATTATCTGGAGTTAATACTGATGTATGACCAACTCGAGGTTGTATTAAAAATGAAGAGTTTGCAGTCTATAAATAAATATAACTTAGGTATATGCATATACAGTATGCTAATGAATTAAGGGTTAATTGTAGAGAAAATACATACATGATTTGACCAGGATAAAGAAGCTGTATCAAAAATTTGGATCTACGGTAATAAATTGCATAAAAATAAATAAGCATGCTATAGATAATAATAACAATAATAATAATAATTTACCTCTAACATGTTAAGTAAATTAGTTTGACTTCCAGGAATATCCTGAGAGACGCCACCAATATAAATAATTTTTCCATCGGGAAGTAATGTTGCGGTGCTATGGCTTCGGGGTGAAGGTGCATTTGGTGCTATTATTTGATTCCAAGATAATAAGATTGTATCAAATTGATACAAATTATTATATAACATAAGGGTGCTTGACCCATATCTAGTTCTATTCTCCCACCAAATATATATATTGTTCCATCAGTTTTTATCACTGTTGAAGTTGATCTACGTCTTGAAGGTTGAATTCCTTTAACTCCCTGTTCAAGTCTTCTCCAAGTTTCAGATTTATAAATGTAAATAAATTGATCTGTAACGTTCCAATTTATTATTTGGTTCGTAACGTTCCAATTTATGGTTGATAGATTCACCTGTGTTCCACCGATTAAATATATATTAGATTTATTAAGTCCCCCGAGAACTGCAGCACCTAATTTACATATCAATTATTATGAATATACAAAAAATGCTTGTAGTTAACGGAATTTAGAACAAATAATTCAATGTCAATATAACCTTTTTCGTTTCCATAAAGCATTCGTGAAGTAACATCGGTAAGATCTGTAAATTGTGGATTTTCAGTAGCAAATTGTGTTGAAAGGTCTAAGTAAAACATTTCATCTGATAATTTATATCGTTTTGGATTTGATGACGGGATTAAACAAGAGCCACCCATGAAGTATAATTTATCTTCTACTTGTACTGATATGTCCACCACGGCCCTCAGGACGACCATCAGGAAAGCAATATGTTTGAAAAATTGCACTTAGGAAAATGAAAGAAACTAAAAAAATTCTCATTACTAGTATCAATTATATTTTTCTTTAGCTTTTAAAAATTAAAAATAAACATAAACTAAATTAAATTAAGCTACAGAAGGTCGTCAAGCTCCTTTTTTAAGTTGTTAAAATATATTAAATTATCGGAATTTAATTACCGACTTAATAGTGTAAGATCTATTGCATTTTATTTAAAGTTCGTATGTACGTACGTATGTTTTCTAAATTTAGAATTAAATATTGCATTCAAATCATTGGAAGCCCCATTTACGTATATTTTTATACCTTATTAGGCAAGCCATTGATCTTAAATTTTTTCCTTTTCTCTTTATTTCTCGATTATTTTCTTGATTGTTACACGGTTGCTTGAACAAATTAGGACTGTACTGTTTCAATTATATCGTTGCATAAAGAATATATAGAATTTACTATTGATACAAAAAATTTCTATAGAGTATGCTCGTATATACAGTCAACTCTCTCTAATCCGAACCTCTCTAATCCGAACACTATTAAATTCTCTCTAATCCGAACCTAAAACTCTAAGACATTTGTAAATTTTATCATAAAGTTCGGATTAGCATATAGTAACTCTTTGAGAACTGACCTTTTTGACCAATTTTACATATAAGAACGGACGGGTTGGATTAGAAAGAGTTGACTGTACATCGTAATTGAATTTGGAATTCTCTGAATTTAGAGTCCATCCTGAAACTATTTAAGTGGATTATGATCACAAAACAACTTGCATGTAAATGAAATTTCAAAAATGGTTAAATTTACTGTATCTGCTGTGAGTAATCACCCACCTATTACAATTTTCATATCAAAGTTTCTCATGATCCAGTGATTGGATCTGCATAATTTTCGAATTGTTTTGATAAGTTGATTCGAATACAGATCTGATCACTGGATCATGAGAAACTTCGATATAAAAATTGCAAGTGGGTGCTTATTCACGGCAGGATACGGTAAGTAAATTTTGGTACCGGTATTACATTGCATTATTAACTAATGTTTGTTTTTCTACGGTATCTTTAAAAAAAGTCACTTTTTATTTTTAAAATGTCCAAATATCTAATCTTAGCGTTTACGCACATTTACTTTTTACAGTTTTATTTGCATTGGATATAGTGGAATTTGATTGCGTTCTTATAGTTTCATGCGCAATAATTTAAATCTTATTAAAGTCAGCCCCAGTGGCATAACCTATATTTATATTCAAGAAGGTTCCGGTTTGCATTATAACTTAGTCGGTAATTTTCTCAAACTTTACAAGGCAGTAAATAATTTATTTTAAAAAATTTTTTTTTATTACACGCAAGAGTGGGCACCACCGGCTTCATGCTATACTGCTTCTGTAATCTTTTTAATGTTTTAACGCCGATCATATGGTAATCAATTTTTCCAACTCTATTTCTCCATTTATATCATATTTTATTCGTTCTATATTCATTGTAATGCGTATATTTCCTGCAATAAGAAATTCTCTATTTGTTAAATTAGATTTTCATATAAACCAATTCATTTTATTTATGCGAAACTTTCTTTTTACTTATTTCTAATTAGTCTTAATGCATAATATATTTTTTGACTTACTTTCAAATAAATATGAAAACTCAAAATATTGGTAGATCAGATATACCTATTACTATTATTAAGTATTAACATAAGATTGACTATATACCTTATCGTTATGTTTACAAAATTTTTTTTTGTAAAAATTTAATAAAAATAAATAATAGAGAATAATATTAATCATTATTTCTTTACCGGCTATGGTTAAAAGTATTTTTAAAAAATATTTTTAAAATTAAAATTTTTTATTACATATTATTATGAAAATTTTGATAAATTTTTCTTGAAAATATTTTCTTGTATTTGTTAGTGTTTTTATAATGAATTGGCTGTGCATAATGAGTTTGAAACCCAGGATCTAGGTTCGCAACCCTCGAAACACTTCGACGTTAAAATGTATAAATACAATGTTTAAACTAATAAAGAAAATAGAAGACCCTTCTTGTTGCATATTAAATAAATTAATAACGCAACCAATCCGCTTTCCTTAATAAAACAACTATCATAACCAGCTATTGTTAATCCGAATCAATTAATAAACATCCACTCGCATACCTATGCACGTATTACTCTCCCGCCTCAGGATGTAACAACATATATATTGCAACCATTGTAAGACCAAAAATTCTAACAGGCATTATAATATGTATAACTTAGCTCCAGCATATAATAAAAATATATTACTATATATCATATATTTAGCTAATTCAGAAAATTATCTATATAATTTCTATTTTATAAAAGTTCAGAATTTCAAAAAATTCATGTTTTTGATATCATAGAATTTAGTATTCTGATACTATTTGGATCAATATTTAAAGAGTTGATTAATTTTTCAAATAAAGATTTATTATTCTCTCTAATTTTACGTGAACCCTTTTTTTTTGACCCTACTAATAACAAATCTATATCTACCAAAGCTTTCTCATAGTCCTTCAACTTGCAGTAAACTTGAACCCGACATTCTAATGCATCTTTATTATTTGGATTAATTTCCAAAAATTTAGTCAAATCTGCAAGAGATTCCTCAAAATTATTTAGCATGTAATGTGTCTGTCCTCGAAAATTTAGTACATTTGCATTCTTTGGATCAAATTCTATAGATTTATTCAAGTCTTCAAGAGATTTTTCATAGTTCTTTAATGTATAGTACGTTTTTCCCCGAGATCTTAGTGCAAAAGGATTATTTGGTTCTATTTCTAATGATCTTGTTAAATCTTCAATTGATTCGTTAGATTTCCCTATATTATGATAAGATACACCTCGACACCTTAGTGACTCTGCATTATCCGGGTCAATTTTTAATGCATTATTTAAATCTGTGAGTGAATTTATATAGTCGTAAAGCATATAATATGCTTTTCCTCGAGTTCTTAATGCATCAACATTTTCTGGTTCAATCTCTAATAACCTTGTCAAACTTCTTTTAGATTCTTCGTACTTTCCTAACTTGAAATAAGATTTTCCTTGAACCAATAGTGCAATAGTGTTATTTGCATTAATTTTTAATGAATTTACTGAATCTTTAAGAGATTTTTCATATTTTTCTTGCGCGTAGTAGGTCTGTCCCCGACATCCTAACGTTTCTGCATCATTCTGATTATTATTTAGTAATTTAGAAAAATCTGCAAGTGATTCTTCATAGCGTTTCAACTCACAATATGTTTGTCCTCGAGATCTTATCGCTACTATATTATTATTTTCAATTTTTAATGAATTATTTAAATCTTCAAGAGATTCTTCGAAACGTTTTAATTTATGATAAGTTCGCCCCCGAGCTCTTAATGCAAATGCATTATTTGCTTCAAATTCAAGTGACAATGTTAAGTCTTCAAGAGATTTGTCGTAATTTCTTAGATAATAATGTACTTGTCCTCGAGATCTTAATGTATATGCGTTATGCTGATCAAAATTTAGTGCTCTCGTTAAATCTTCAAGAGCATCTTCATATTTTCCAAGCATATAATATACATTTCCTCGAGTTCTTAATGCATCAAGATTTTCTGGGTTAATATCTAATGAACTTAAACTTTCAAGAGATTCATTATACATATTTAACTCATAATATACCTGCCCCAAAAATCGCAGAGTAACTGCATTACCAGGGTCAATTTTTAATGACTCTTTTAAATTTTTGAGAGATTCATCATATTTTTTTAACCTGAAACAAGAGTAACCCAGATATCTTAGTGCATCTACATTATTAGATTCAAGTTTCAATGATTTAGTTAAATCTTCATAAGACTCAACATAACGTTCTAAAGTGCAATATATTTTTCCTCGAGACCTTAGCGCGACCGCACTGATTGAGTTAATCTTCAAAGATTTATTTAAGTCAGCAAGAGACTCTTCATATTGATTTAGCATGCAATATGTTTGTCCCCGAGAAATTAGTGCAATTGCATTATCTGGTTCAAGTTCTATCGATCCATTTAAATCCGTAAGAGATTCATCGTAAAGTTTTAACATGTAGTATGTTTCTCCTCGAGATCTTAGCGTAAATGGATTGTTTGGATCTATCCTTAGTGACTCTGTTAAATCTTCAAGTGATCTTGTTAAATTTTCATCTGATTTGTTACATTTCCCTAAATTATAATGAACTAATCCTCGACATCTTAGGGCCTCTGCATTATTCGGGTTGATCTTTAATGCTTTTTTTAAATCTGTAAGTGAATTTATATAGTCGTTAAGCATATAATATGCCTTTCCACGAGTTATTAATGCATCGACATTTTCTGGTTCGGTATCTAATAATCTTGTTAAACTTTTTAGAGATTCTTCGTAGTTTCCTATCTTGAAATAAGATTTTCCTTGAAGTAATAGTCCACTTGTGTTATTTGCATTAATTCTTAATGAATTTATTGAATCTCTAAGGGATTCCGCATATTTTCCTAACTCCAAATAAGCTTGTCCTCGATATATTAACGCCTCTGTGTCGTTCTGATTATTATTTAATAATTTAGAAAAATCTGAAAGAGATTCTTCATAGCGGTTTAACTTATAAAATGTTTGTCCTCGAAAACTTATCGCAATTAAATTATTCGGATCAAATTCTAATGAATCATTTAAATCCTCAAGAGATTCTTCGTAACGGTTTAACATATAAAAAGTTCGTCCCCGAGTCCTTAGTGCAAATGCGTTATTTTTCTCAATTTTTAATGACATTGTTAAGTCTTTAAGAGACTCGTCGTAATTTTTTAGATAATAATATACTTGTCCTCGGGATCTTAATAAGAATGCATTATTTTGGTCAAGATTTAATGCTTTCGTTAAATCTTCAAGAGAATTTTCGTATTTTCCAAGCATATGAAATGCTAATCCTCGAGTTTTTAATGCATCACTATTTTTTGGTTCAAGGTCCAATAATTCTGTTAAACTT